TATATGTATATATGTGTGAAATTCCCAGTCGAAATATGAAAGGGACAATAATCGTTAATCGGCAAAAAAAAAATCTTACTGAAATTCACCCGGCGATTCAGCAAATCGACGTGTGTTCTGTGGTGGTAAAAAAACGGAATTTCTGATACTTATACCGAATGAAGAAAAAGTGGTCAGAATCGACGAAATTTTGCTCGGATGAACAAAATGTTCTCAACAGCGCGATGTTTTAGTTTCACCAAATTATACAGTTGCTATAATGAGTCATCAATCGATTCGAAATTGCAATTATAGTCGGGATATCAATGCAAAATATTGTTTTGCGCTAATAAGCGATTTGCGAGTCATATATGGATAAAATAATGAAGGATATCGTTGTCCCGAGAAGTAATTTACATTCTTCTCTTAGCGCAGAACATTAAGGAGAGCAAACGTATATCTTTTCTCTTTCTCTGATGTTCGTCTCGAAGCGCGCAGCGACAGCTACACAATTAGCATAATTACACAATTAGCATAATTATTCTCATTTAATGTGTAGCACCTATTCCACATATGTGACATCTTGCTTATAATAAAATTGCTTCTGCGAGTCGTGCACGACGTCATCGTTGTCGTGTATCCCAACGTGAATAATCTCTATTCGTGCGGCGTCTTAATTCTTCGTCGCGAAAGAACGAGAAAGCCAGAGTGAAAGAGACGTCATATTTTCAGTTAGGCCGTCATCTCCGCCCGATTCGTTAATCGTTCGTCCCTTCCGCAGCGCGCACACCGGCGAGCGCGATATTTGCAGTAGCGACTGAAATAATCATCGGCGGAACGGGTAATCGGGTACGCGCAACAGTTTTGAAACGGAGGGCGGTGAACCGTGGAAATGGTTCGTCCGGTGGTAGTTGGGATGTCCTTTCTGGCTCGGGGCACAATAATCGTGGATTTCCGTCCGCTTATTATCTTACACGCGTCACAATGCGTTTAGATTGCGTCGGGGTATCGGCTAATTACCGGTCGCGATTTAACCGAGCGCTCCCGCCCTCGGCGATACGTTCGAGAGCGTGAGACCGATGTCTGCGTCGTCGTCGTCATCGTCTGCGTCGTCTATCGCACGTCGTTATCGTCGTCGTCGTCGCTGAAATTGCCACGAACGAAAACACGCGTCGAGGATGTCTGCATCGCGGGATTGCGTACTAATACGCACACGAGAAAGCAAAAGAGTTACGCACGATCGTGTTGTGATCGCACGCAGTGAAAGTGCGCGCGGTTTATCGCCTCGGGCAGAAAAAAAAAGCGACCGTCTACTTTTCGAATCGAACTCCCGATTTTGGGACTCGAAGTGTTCACCGCCGTTTGAAAAAATTAATGGGGTTAGGCAAGTGATTCGGCACTTCGAGGAAAGCGGCTGAGGTAAAATCGCTGATCGAAAATTATTCCAATCGAGTAAACATAAAATCGGTAGCTTTTCTTCTCGCCTTAACCTCCTGTGTCCTATTAAAAAAAAAAAAAAAATCAAAGTGCGCCTAATAATGCGGGACTAATAATGTGGGACTGTTACACGTATTGGCTCTTCCAGCACCTCTCGGTACTTTCTTTCGCGTTACACGATCTCTTTTTACTTCGATTCTTATCAATTGCGTCAGATTGTAAATGCGAGCATCGGGACTGATCGCTCGGGTTTAGAAAGCTTTTGCTCTCGATTTGATCAAAAGGAGAACGCGCGCGCTAAGACGACGACGGCGGTCCGGTCGGTCGCCCTGAGTGCTGCCGGTCTAAGAAATTTTGCACAACGAATTACCTACTACCGCTTCCAACCGGCAACCGGTTTTTTGATACCGTTACCAACTCTCGGATACTGAGTTTTGATATGTAAAATCGCGGCTTATTCGATCGGCTGTATTCTGAGTCGAAATTCAGACGTCACTTTGACGCTTTTAAAGATAATAATTTATGCTCGCTTAAGTGATTTGTAAAAACCTATTCTTCGGTGATACCGGCATTTGTTAGTTCTACAGCGGACGACAAGTGTCATCCGCGTTGCGCTAAAATATACTTTCGCGTGCCAGCGAAATGTTGTTTTCCCCGTGCACTGAGAGACCCATTCGGTCGAATCAACGAAATTCTTACTTGAATATGGGCGAACAAATGTTTTGACTGTAACAACCAAAGTCCGATCGTCTAAACCGAAGGTTTGGTTCTCTGAAAGTTTCAGAGGCTTCAAAGAACCCAAACCTTTGGTACAGAGAACATAAACCTTGGCCTTCGTATAATCAAAAAATGTCTTCGCCCATATCCAAACAAGAATCTGCTTGATTCGACTAAATGAGATTCTTAGTGTGTGTGTGTGTGTGTGTGTGAAAAGCATCGCGAGAATCATCTCCGAGACGATCATTCAAGACGATCATGCCGAGGCGGCGCCCGCGACAAATCCGCCGGAATTCAACGAATCATTAGCGAAGTAGAGGTGTCTTTATGAAAATCCCGAATCCTCTTAACGACAGGCAAAACGGCCTTCGTAATGTGAAAAGTACACGCTCTCATTCGCAACGGGAGAGAGAGAGAGAGAGAAATCGCGCGGACGCACGCACGCAGGCACGCACGCAGGCACGTAGGCACGCATACGCGTGCCATATAGATAACTCACCTTCGTAAGGTAGAGGAGAAGCGTGTGCCAGACGGACGGCGCGGTATCAAAGGATATTTACCCTGTCAACAACGTGCGGCTTTACGCGGAGACGCCGCCACGTCTCTATAAGGGGAGAAGAACACATAGTCACTCACGCATCGAGATAATAGTAATAGGTATTATTACTTTGCTCTATTATTTTACGATCTAGCGCTTTTTTCCCGGGAATTGATACATTATCGTCGGTGCTGCACCGACGAAACGGCGATTGACGAGCGCGATTGGGAAACGAGCGAGCACTCAAGCCGAAACTTTGACCGCTCTTAACCAGCTGATTAGTCGCCTTTTTTTTTTTTAATGTGATCACCCGGAGTCAATTAAACGCCCGACTAAAAACTACAGTACTACTCGTTAAAGAAGTTGAATTCTCTAATTTTACAAATTTTATCTTAATGCTATCTTGGAGTTATAAATGTTCTCCATATTTCGATCGTTAAATTCGCACGAATATTCCAAACCTGTTTTGAAACTGTAAAATGCAAAGACGAGAGACAGAAAGAACTTGAGACACCTCGTGTAGGTCAAAGTAGGAGTAAATTGTATCGTTAGAACCAAATCTACTTTGCTATCTTGGTTCCTTTGCTGCGTTGTGCAATTAAAATTCCGGTCATCTTTCAATTCTAATATCCGAGTTCTTTCATCCAGATTCGTTATCTCGCTCGCAATTTATATCGTCGCGGCGGTCAATATAATTTACATCGACGTGGCGATAAAAAGTCGGAATCCAGGTAAAAACGGCGTGAACGCTTCTCTCCTCGGTTTATCCGGAGTTTTTCGAGCTCAATGGAGGAAAGATTATTAATTAGACATCGGCACTCCGAGTAAATTAGTCACTCACGGGTGTACTTTTTTCTTTTTTTTTATGCTCAGCCACGGATTCTATAATGAATATATCCGGTGAAAAATTGACGGCTATAATATTACACCTCGTTGAAAACCTGTAATCTCACGCGATTACGACAAATCCAAAAAAAAAAAAAACAAGTGGTGTGGCCGGCCAACGACACGTGCTCGGATTCTGATCTGAGACTTCGTTCATCGGAAATCGGCGTGTGTGCATTCGCTATTAAGCGCGGTTTGATTCGTGTTACCGCCTAATTAAGCGAGCCTAATTAAGTGAGCATTTGCATCACCGATGTCGCATACCGAATTAAGTTGTGCTCAATCAGCGGACGAGCTCCCATTAGAAATACGAAAGTCGTCGCACGGACGGGCCATTGTGTAATCCCCGTAACAACAAAAAAAACCGCTGTCTTCGTCCGAGCCGATCGATTTTTCGAAATCGGGCTTCTCTTTCTCGAAACGGAGTTTTCATTTCTCTTGTATTATTCAACACGCAGCGTCGCATACATGTGACGGTGACATTTTTTTTTTAATGTCACGTTATCAAACTAAACCCGTTTCACGCAATTATGTAAAAAAAATATATATAAAAATACGAGGTGGTATGTGAGGAACTTCCTCCCCTCTAAATAAACTCGGAGAGCGAGCGTGTTAATTGTACAAACTGATAAGAAAGATTCACACGTTTATTTAAAGCTTGACTCATGCGCGAGGGTATCCTTACAATTCAGTTATTTCGTATTCTTTATGTTTTATTTTGTACCCTATGTTATCTGAGAAAAACTACTTTTTAAAAGAAGTAAACCGGCCGGATCTACGATCGAGATTATCATCTCCCGCCGCTCTACACAAAATATGAATTTTATCTAATCTATTTATCATTATCTGATCGATAAAAAGAAGGTTCTAGAAGTATTCTTAATTGCGTAATAAAAGAGCAGCAGTTGATTGCAAAGCATCCTACGAGCATAAGTAGCAAAATTAAATCGATCGTACAAAATCGATATTTTTCATCGCCGATCGTTTGGCGGATGATGCTGTTTTTCCTTCCTTTCTTTTTCATTTGCCAACGCCCATCTCTAAATCGCGGACTTAAGAATCTGGGGGACGGGATGTAAGGCGGAGCCGGCGGCCAAACTTCGGATATCCTCCGGTTACAATACGCTTCGCAGAGTCGGAAGAGAACGTCTCGATGGTAGAAAGAGACGAGATTGGCGAAAATGAAAGAAAAAAAGAGGAGAGCGCTCTCACACTTCCCCTTGCCAGGGCGAGTCAGCCAACCCCCTTGGCCGGCGCAAAAGTTCACCCTATACACCGCCCCTAGATTCTCAAATCGGGGTGCTTTGAATCCAATTGAAACTCGCTTTTCCGCGCGACCTTGCACACGACCCAGCTGTAAACAAACACCCCTACGAACGCAACTTTCGGAGCCGGCCCGCCGGAGGAAAGGCAGAGAGACACACATATACTCCTCGGAACTCACCTGCATCTGCAGCCACGAGTAGTCGATGTACGCGGTGGTGGTGGCGGTGACGGCCCCGGCGACGGTGGACGTCGTCGAGGAGATCTGCTGCCAGCCGTCCTGCGCGCTGCATCCGAGGAGGCCGTCGGGCTGGGCCCGGTCGGGCACTATCTGATCCGCGGACGTGTACGGTGGATACGGCGGCTGTATCGTCGGCGTGTGTCCGGCGGACGGCAAACCCTGAAGAGCCGCCGGATGAGGATGCTGCGCTCCCGTGCCGGCACCGGCGGGCAGACAGCACACGCTCGCGTCCATCCGTGGCGGCGGCGGCGGAGAGTCGTAAAAGCGTAGCTGCTCCGGCTCCGGCTCCCGAGTCGTCGTACGGCCGAGGGTTAATCCTCGCGGCACCATCCAACCGGCGAACGCGGCCGCTGAGAACGCCGTGATATATATATATATGTATATATATATATATATATATATGTCTTTCTCTCTCGCGACCGCCGCGAATGTTTACTTTCTCCCTCGGGAGCGATTCGCGCCCGTCGGATTCCAGATACTCTTTCGGAGACCCGCCCGGCTGTTTTACGTTTCCTTCTCCGTGACTACTTCAGACACATCGAAGATGGAAGACTTGGCGCGGCTGGCATCTTCCTCTTCGGCCCGGCTGAGTCTCCCGACATCGATCCGACGACCTGCGATACCCGCCGGCCGCCGCCTCGAGGTCTCTCTCTCTCTCTCTTCTCCGAGACCCCCCGTCCGGGGTGATTTCTCCCTTCAGGGGGCTGCAGGCCTCGAACTGGAGGAGGCAAAAATGGAGGAGTTTGCCGGGGATCGAGGATCTCTCTCGAGGATTTGTCACCACTTTGGACTTGCTCGCGGCAGCTGCGGGACTACAGTCACGTGCGGGGGCGGCAGCGCGTCGACGTCCCGCGCGAATCCAGCGGCTTCCGTGGGAACACGGTCCCGCAGCGACGGACCGCCGAGCGTCACCGCGGACATCGCGGATTCCGCGAGAGCGTTGTTCCTCCTTCGAGCCTCCTTCCCGGAAGTCGTCTCGGGACCTGGTCGTAACAGAGGACGATCCTCCCGCGGCGTCGACGTTCCGACGTCGCGTCGTCAGGAGGCGCTAACGCGAGCGGCACCGGAGAGGGTACCTCGAGTTTCTGTCACGGCGCGTCCTCGACGACGACGTTCCTCGGTTCTTCCCGGCCGCGCGACGCGATCCTCGAGGCACGTCGATCGCGCGCGACACAATCCGACGGCCGCATGTAAGACACCGGAGGGAGGTGAGGGAGCTCCTACGAGGCTAACGAAGCGTTCTCCAGCGGATCGACATCGTGTCCGTCGCTCGCAAGCTCGCGGCTTCTCTCCTTCACGCGCCGCTTTCCCTCCTCTTCTCGCGCAGGCTGCTCACGCCGCCTCGGGAAAGCATTCTCCTCTCCTCGCTGGGCTCCTCGCCGATGATGACACTCGCGGAACAGTCGCGCACTCGCCGCCGCCTCGCCGGCGGCGTCGGCAATAATTCGCGTGCGACGACGACGCGAGAGATACGGAACATCCGATAATGACGATGATGATGATGAACAACAACAACAACAACGCGGCCGAGGAGATGACGCGAATGCAAGCACAAGACCACGAGAGACCTGGGTCGAGGGGAGGAAAATCGTAACGCGTGTGTAACAACGCGCGAGAACGAATCCCGGCCGGTCGGCCGTCGCGAGTAATGACGTTTCTCGTACGGTGACAGCTCGCGCACTCCCGTTAAAACGCGCGTTGACGCGCGCGCGCGCGCGTTCACCGGCGCGCCACGAGGACGAGGGCGGAGAGAGAAATGGTGGGAGTGTGTGTGTGTGTATGTGTGTGTGTGAGGGAGAGAGAGCAGAGCGCGCTCATGGGGCGAGGGTGGTGGAGGTGGTGGTGGTGGTAATCGGCAGTGGTGGTAATGTTGATGATGACGATGGAGGCGGCGGCGGTACCGGCGGAAGAGCGAGGGTGAGGACGGAGGGCCCCCGGTGGCGCGCGCGCGCACTTTCGGACTGTCGCGCTCTCGTGTCGTACGGGCCGGCGGTTGCGTGCGCGCATGCGTGAACGCGTGTCGTCAAGGCAACGGTTCCAGAGTAACTGCTTGGCGAACGTAGCCCTCCGCGGCGAACGTGAATCTTCTCCTCCCCCCCTTCCCGCAGTCTATCTGTCTCTCTTTCTCTCTACCCGACGACCTCTCTCTCTCTCTCTCTCTGTCTCTCTCTCCTCTGGAGAGACTCTCCTTCTCGCTCGTTCACCCGCGGTGCTCGCGCGCCTGGCTCACGCCCCGGGCGCGACCGATTCAAGCGGTCTAGGCGGCCATCGAGCGCACGCCCCCGTCCCGACACCGAGACAGCGTCACTCTCTCTCTCTCTCTTTTTCTCTCTCTTCTGCGCGCCGATCTCTCTCTCTCTCTATCTCTCTCTCTTTGATTCGCGCCGAGTATATATATATATATATATATAATATATAATATATCTATATATATAATATATACATATATGCATATATATATATATATATATATATATATATATGCATATATGTATATATTATATATATATATATACATATATATATATATATACGCTTTTCCCCTTCTCCCCATAAATGTCCTCCCCCTACTCACTTACCTCCGGTCTCCTCCGATTCCGTCTCGATCGAGCGCGTCCCGCGAATCGTCCCGTCCTTTTCCCGCCGCGCAAACATAGCGAGCGAGGAGGCAGCGCGTCGACGCCCGCGTCTCGAAAGTGCGATTATCGACGTGAGCTATCGAGGGGACTCCTACCTTCTCCTCCTCTCCGACTTTGGCACACTTCTCTCCGACCGCTTCTTCTCTCTCTCTCTCTCTCTCCGTATTCGCGTTCGCAGACCCGCCGTCTCTCACGTCGTCGTCGTTACTTTCTTCTGCTATCGCGCGCGACGGCGAATCATCCCCTCGCGTGTCAGCTGCACCGCGAAGACGCGACCGTCGCGCGTTCATTCCGTCGAACAAAACAATTTCCTCGTTGTTGTTCGATTCGCTTTAATGTTCGCGACAGCAACAACCAGTTTTGTTTTCCATGGCGATTATCGCGGAACGCGAAAAACGCCGCGAGTCCGCGCGTCGTTCTGACGTCAGTCGCGAGACGATCTCACCTTCCTTCTCCGCGCGGGAGGCTCTCGGTCGCTCTTCAAAGTTAAGGTGATTAATTTCACGATGTCGGTCGATGGGGAACTACGGGAGCAAAATGTAAGATGTCCGGTCACGTAACTTTCTCCGCGAAAGATTAAACGAACGAATCAACTGGATTCGTGATAACGAATCCCTCTCTCTCTCTCTCTCTCTCCAACAGCGCGAAACGAAAATGATATATACACGAGAAAGGCTTATTATCAATAGAATCGGTAAGCGGCGCTATAATTGAAGTATTTCTGCGTCATTGAAGTAAATCTTAAACTCGTCTTAAAGACATCTGATAGGCATCTTACTTAAAGACGACTTTAAGATGTCTTAAAGACGTCTTAAAGTCGTCTTATATCCCAGTTTTAGGTCTTAGGTGTTGTCTGAGCCTTTATCTACAATCTTGCTTTAAGACATAAGCAAATTAACCAACCACGATCAATTATTTTTCTAATAAACGACCGTGGTCGATCAATTTGTTTACTATGATCGCCTCGAAAAAAATTAGAATCAGAGAAACTAATTTTTTGTAGTAATGTTACTAAAATGTTAGAGAATTATAACAAACTTACGTGTATATTGTGCTGCTACCGCTTTTTCGTTAGAACAACAAGAACAACATTGATGACGCCGAAAATAACTATAATTTTTAAAAGTAACATTAATACCTCCCTCTCTCTCTCTCTCTCTCTCTCTCTCAATTTTTGATAAGATCATTTTACTTTCAATGTACTCTGCACAATCGTTGATCTTTTCATTAAAAAATGCGCCTTATAAATCTAAACGACAGCGAAGAGGAAAAAAGAAAGAAAGAGACGGGAAGAGGCTTTGAGGGATTGGGAGTTAAAAAGAACGATGCATTAATTAGCCGTAAGTCTCTCTCTCTCTCTCTCTCTCTCGCTTGTTCGGCATCCAGAATGCGACGCTTCTCACGCGCGATATTCGTGTCGTATACACAGTGAGGCGGACGTATGCATCTCCTCACACATCGCTCTCTCTCCTTCCCACTCCTTTTCGCCCCTTCCCCCCTCCCCCTCCACCGCTACACTCGTTCGCGACGAGGCACAGAAAGGTGTTCCCTTTCTCTTTAGATTGTGAAACGATTTTCTATCGCGGCGCTTTAGCTCGGCCGCGCGCGCAGATTTATTATATATGCAATGGGTTACGCAAATTACGACAAAGTGCAAATATTTCACATGACCTGCACCTGCGTGGCTCCCCCTTTCTTACACGTGATCGTTTAACTAAGCACGTGAATCGTGATGCGTGCTGACTGAGACGTGCATCTGTGTAAATTATGTGTATGTGTGTGTGTAAATATATCAAGTCTTGCGGGAAGTTTCTTGTCGTTTCTTTGTGTGTAGATGAAGGAAAACGCGATAGTTTGATCGCGCAATCATCATTATTACTCATCAAAGTGGGCTCTGTTACGTGCGACGACCGTTTTGCCACGCGTGAACAATGAGATCACATAGATGCCTTTCCTGCAAAACTGTGATGACTTATAACAGCCGCAAGATATATAGATAGTGCGGATAGTCTCCCAGAGAGAGACTTTCGGTTATCAACGCTCTGCTGCTGTCGCATGCAGGTGTTCGCTATATTACGGAATACGATAATAATCCGTCGAGGTGATGTCAGGGGAATACGCTGGGTGAGGTCAACTCTAGTAGCATATTTCATTGGCGTTACATTGGCTCAAAGTTGAAGTGTCCTACTAGACGAAACTTCCCAGACTGGAAGTGGGCTTTGTGATTGCTTAACGCATCCATACCTGACGTGTTAAGTATCGTCTTTTCCATCATTTTTCTGCCGAGTTTAAACTCGTAAACAGTAATGCACATCGAATTTTCACTTCATCAGACCACCATGTTCGACACCCTTTATTGCCTGACTTATCCGCCCATTATGTGGTTTGTTACGTCTGCGGTGAAGCACAAGGGATTGCTTAGGAAAAAAAATGATTATATATAATTATATCAAATTATATATGAAGTAGCCCATATATGTAGTTACATATATGACCATATATATCTATACGAAAAAAATGACGTTATGTCATTCAATGAAACGTCGATATCGTGTGCTATCAGAAGCACGAATTTACTTCGATTGTATTTGCATGTATAATTTGTAAACAATATAAACAATTTGTAAACAATGGTATTTTTTTCGTTGTGGACACGTATGATTATACATAGTCATATATGAACGAATTTCATATATGATCTTTTTTCCTGGGATATATATAAAAAATTTGTTCGAAACTGCAACGAGCTTTCTGGATTGACCAATTTCTTACGTAACATACGTAACACCACGTGAATTGCATTTTTCGCGGCGTCAGGAGACGTTTCTTAAGAAAGAAGTTGCCAGATCGCCGCCGCCGCCGCGCGAACGAAGAGATAAGAAGTGCGCGATTTACGAGTTTCGGTAATCTCGTTTTCTCGCAAACCTAATCCTACATCTGGGCGGTAGGTGCGTGTTCGCATAAAGTTGACCGGTCATATTCGAATGCATCATGGCGGAATAATCGGCTATGGTTGGTTAATTTCTCATTCTTACCTCTCATAAACATATTCCTCTACCGCCCATTGCAGACCGTCTATTTTAATCGTCTCGTCGCGCAACGCGCTTCCATGAGCCGCCGCTACATAACTACGAATGTAATAATAATAATTAGTAGTGATAATAATAATAACAATAAAAATAATACCGCGTATCGGCAGGCGGTTCTAATCACGAGCACACATCGCGACACGACGTAACATAGAAGCAACGCAACAACCGCCGTCGCGGAAATTGCGCGACGAAACCCGCAGGTCCGTTTTATCCTTTCCTCCCGCAATCCTCGCGATCCTCTCAGGTCAATCAGCGCGAGTGACCGCCGCTCGCAAAAGCGGCAAAGCAAATATGGCGGCGGTGGCATACCGAAGGCGCGCGCAAATGCGAGATATACATGATGAAAACTGAATACACGAGCGAATACTTACGAACGGGGAAAACTGGGAGTTCGCGTGACGGCACGTGGCAGCGGCGCGTATGTCACGGCGATACATTGTCAAGTTTAGAGTTGAAAGCGGCGCGTTGGCAATGCGCGCGCGCGCGCGCGAACGAACGAGCGAGAGAGCTAGCGAGAGAGAAAGAGAACGTTGGAACGAGCTTTAGCGTGCGCGCGCAATCAACGACCGCGGCTGGCTGGTTGAATATAGCACGCGAGAGGGGTGCACCACGCGCGCGCTGCGCCTCCCCACTCCGCCCGCGGGAACGACGCGACTTATGAATGGGAGTAGTACTCGCCCATTGGTCGCGGCCGACAGCCAATCGCGGCTGGCTGGCGCGCGCGAGCGAAGCGGCGAGCGTGCGTACCTCGTGCGCGCGCGCGATATATTCTCTTCGAGTCGAAGACGCGAAAAGATCGAAAACAAGATATCGTATCGAAGCGTGAATCCACGCAAGCAGGTTCCTATTATATATATACATACACCGTCCGTGCGCGCGCGCGGCCGAAGATCGTGAAATCATCGATCCGGGGCCGGGGAGGGGGGTATGTATCCTGGAAAAAAATTATCGATCGTGTGAAAAACTCGTTTCAGCCGTAATTCATAAATTCCCCCTCCCACCCCACTTCCGACGACCTTTACACGCCTGGGAAACGTTGAGGAGCGTTGGTTATACTGTTATTACCGCTATTATTATCGATTTGTCAATCTTACGTAACAATTACTTGTACGTCTTGAGAGCTGTCGGCATGTATATATATATTTTAATCGCGCGCGCTGCGGCGCAAGTATGACTCTCGCGCGAATCGATGGAGGGAGGGGGAGAGAGGAAGAGAGAGAGAGAGAGAGAGAGAGAGAGAGAGAGAGAGAGAGAGAGAGAGTAATTGCGGATAAACGACAGTGTTAAAGACGAAAATATCGATTCCATCTTTGTGGGAATCATTTGGGATCGCGATGCAACGCGAAGCGAGACGGCTGAATATTCGTCAACGTCGAACGGAATGCCGACGAAGCGGCGAAGAGACGAAAAGGTAATCGCTCTGCCGAGACGCGAGAGAAACGAGTAAGGACTCGCTGGCCGCAATGTAAATCGGCGGCACAGACAGAGCGAGGAAGGAGG